TTCTGCAAAATAAAATTGCCCAGAACAAGTAGTATCGGTACTACCTTCAATGGGTATCGGTATTGTTCGTTATTGTTCATATAGTATCGGTACTATTCATACAATACAATATTATTCATAAAAACATTTTTGTGCTCAATTCCAAATTAAATGGACTTTGAATTATTTTTGTAAACTTTGAATAAATTCAATTCAAGTCCAAAAACATTTTTCCATAAATTGTTATATCAAAGTATAGTTCAACAATCTGCCCTTTTTTGATATAACAAAACATTTGAAAATTTATTTTTTTTTGCAAAACTCCCCTTAGTAAAATGTTTAATGAAAAAGATACCAATTGTTAGAAAATATATGAAAATGTTTATCTCCCCCTTTTTCATTAAGAAATTGAATTTTTCAAACCATATTCCCCCCCCTTTTTGTTATATAAAAAAATTCAATCTTTAAAGTTCTAAAATAACTTTGGAGAGTAAGTGATAAATTTGACATTTAAAAACCATTTGAAAAAAATCAAAGCTCCCCCTCAATAAGTGCATTCCCAACAAAATTTAGCTTTAAAATCTTGACACATGAAATTCAACAAAGATTAACAAACATGTTAGTAGCACATGAAATTCTATGTATCCAAGTCTAAAATACTTTATGCAATATCAATTGTTGAAATTAAGTGCATATGCATAAAGCTTTCAAAAATGTTATGCATTTGAAGAATTTAATATCAATTGTTAGAGAGATGTCTTTTGCATTTAAAACACGTGCATAATCATTTAAATTTAGGTCAAAAATTTAAAATTTGAAAAATCAAAGTATTTGAAAAGTTGATATCAATTGTTAGAGAGATATCATTTACATTTAAAATCAATTTTGACCAAAATTCATTATGATGAACTAAAAATTATAAAAAATCATTAAAATTTTAAAATGTTCATTATAGTTTCCTTTTAACATATATGAGCTAGAAATTTAACACAAAACCATTTAATTTCAAAACTCATGCATGTATAAACCTAAATGAGCAACCAATTAATAAAAAACAAAAGCTTTAAGTTTAGAGGTTACCCGTTCCTTTTTCAAGTGTGGCTAGAGCATTTAAATATCTTCACTTTCATCACCATTGCTCCCACACACCTACAAGAGACATTTATTTCAATTTTGGTATCCAAATTGCTTTGGATCCTTGGACGTTAGTTTCAATGCCCCTTGTTTCATTAGGAATCCATACTTGTCTAATTTTAAAACGTATTTCTTTCTTCAAATGACAAGTATGTTCCTTGTGACCATGATAATGGCAATGTGAGCATTTTGCCATTATTAAACTAGATGAATTATTTAAAATGATTTCTTTTTCTTTTGTTAAGCATTCAAGCTTAACTTTTAAATCAAAATTTTCTTTTTCAAAACTTTCAATTTTAATTTTTAAAAGCTCTAAATCCTTTTATCAACATTTCATTTTGATTTTCAAAATTTATTTTTACTTTCAAAATAAAATTGTGTTCAATTTTAAATTTTGAAATTATTTTCCTATATTTGCAGTTCATGGTATCAAACTCCTAAAATAATTCATCGTAGGCATCTTGTAACTCATCAAAAGAAAATGAATTTAATTCATTTGAGCTAGAAGATACCTCGGGCACTTCAAGAGCCATTAGAGACACCACCTTTGTTGGTTCTTCTTTCTTGTTTCCATGAAGCTTTTCGAGCTTATTCCAAAGCTTCTTGACACTTGAACAAGAAGAAACTCCTTCATATATATCTGGACCAAATGCACAAAACAACATATGCATGGCCTTGGCATTAAGTTGAGCTTTCTTCCATTCTTGGTCATGCCACTTCTTATCCTTCTTATTTGGAGAAGAGTAGTCGTTCTCGATCATCTCCCGTGCATCAATATCATTGAATTATATGAATAACTTCATTAATTTCTTCCAATGACGATAGTTTGCTCCATTGAAAAGTGGAGGCTTGTCGATCGGTGGAGAGTCTTCCATGTGGAATAAGCTAGAGGTGGAAGTCATCTTCTCGGTTGTGTCGGGAGTTGGTAGAGCGTCTTCTAGGATCATCTCAATGATGTTAAGCCTTATAACGAGCTAAGCTCTGATGCCAATTTTTGAGATTTTTCGGAAGCTCGAATCGACAACCAAAATGGTTCGCCAAGAGGGGTCGGGACGGTTCTTGTGTTAAGGGAGTAAGGCGATTGAAATATAGAAAATTTGCACAACCATTTATAGTGGTTCGATTTCTCAACCAAGTCTACATCCACTACCTTAGCTCCTCACCAAGTATTTTCCAACAAATTCACTAATTTGTTATTTCTTTTTACAGGAGAAAGAGATAACCTTTACAACTCCCTAGTTTTTCACGGGCTAAACTAGAACCTTATCCCTAGCTTTTCAAGGGCTCGACTAGAACCTTTCCTTTTACAAAAGGATAAAAGAAGTAAACAAGAAAATCTCTCAAAGGTAGGGTGTTTACAAAATTTAAGCTCACGAGAACACAATATTTACAAGAGAATAGAAAAATAAGATTGAAAAACTCTTCTCTTGTGTTTGAATACTTGGATAGGTGTTCTCTATATTCTTCAAGTGTCTTGAACATGTATTTATAAGTTGGAACGAGTTTGAAGTTGTATATAGCCATTGGGGATGTTTTGAAGCCGTTGGGGATTCATTTTCTGTAAAATAAATCTGCCCCGAACAAGTAGTATCGATACCCCTTCAATGGATATCGGTACTACCTTTGTAATATTTGAAATTTTTGACCGTTGGACTTGATTTTACAGTAGTAGTATCGATACTACTGTAGAGGTATCGATACCCATTTTGCATTCTGAATTTTTTTAGCATCAGTATTGTTCGTTACTGTTCACACATTATCGATAATATTCATACAATATCGGTACTATTCGTTGTTGTTCACACATTATCGGTACTATTCATACAGTACAGTACTATTCGGTAAAACATTTTTGTGCTCAATTCCAAATTAAATGGACTTTGAATTATTTTTGTAAACTTTGAAAACTTTGAATAAATTCAATTCAAGTCCAAAAACATTTTTCCATAAATTTTTATATCAAAATAAAGTTCAACAAGTACCTCTTTGAGTATCGGTACCACATGAACAGTACTAGTACTGTTCAAATAGTATCGATACTGTAAGAATAGTATCCGTACTATGTACCTAGAAAAACAGTTTTGTGCTCAAATTCTTATTTAATGGACTTTGAATTATTTTTGAAAACTATGAATAAATTCAATCAAGTCCAAATAACATTTTGCCTTAATTTGTTATATCAAAATATTATAAAACATAGTTCAACATATACACTTATATATACTTATATACTTATATTATATAGTTTATATATTTTATAGTTTATATAATTTATATACTTATATTTATACTTTATTGTTTATATACTTTATACTATATTATATATATATAATATACATTATAACATATATACATGTGTCATATTATATTATTATATAATATATACATATATTATAATTATTTCAATTTTTTGTCAACTTTTGAAATGAATGCAATTCAATATATTTTATAATTTTTCTTCACATTTTATAATTATTTTGATTTGAACTCTTTGTGTTATTTAATTTATTTAAATTTAGTATTTGTCTAATTTAGTCCTTAAAATTATATTTGTATCTAAAATTGACCCATACTGATTTATATTTTGTAATTTACTTCATACCCTATAAATCACATAATAAACTTCATTTCAAATTTTATAAATTATATTATAATCTCTAAACCCTATAAACTTGTGTTCAACAACTTTTTAAATGGATACAATTTAGTTCATTTTTATATTAATTTTAACTTGACATTTATAATTATTTCGATTTGATCCGTCATCACTACGTGTTGTTTAATTTATTTAAATTTTTGTTTGTAATTTCATGTTTGTTCAATTTAGTCCTTAAAATTATATTTTTATCAAAATTAATCCATAATTATTAATATTCTTTTAATTTACTCTAAATCATATACAATTACAAATTACAATTCAATGTTCATGAAATGCGAAAAATAATTAATCCAAAAATGACCTTACCTAAAGTTAATCCGTATCCGGTAAGATCCAATCTAAATTTTGTCTGTCAATATTATGACCTGATCTGAACGAGATCCGACTGAAGGCCACTCGAACATGAATTAACTCGGTATTTAATTTATTCGGACATGAACCATTTTGACCTAAACTGACAGGATCCGATTAAGGAGGAGCGTTCTTTTTTGCAACTTTTCGAGTATCATGCATAATAGGAAGCTACTCACACGTGGACGAACAAGCTTGAGGTGTTCTTGATTTGATACCGATCGAATGTACTTGTTCTACACGTGTGTTGATATGGAATGTAACCGTTAAAAGGTTTAGGTAGGTCCACCTCGGTTGATACTATAGGTTTTAATTAGGTTTAATTGTCTACTGGTATGATCTAGTGATTTTCTTAAGTTGTAGATATTTGATTTAGATGTCCAAAAGTTGCTAGAGGAAAAACATTGATTGTGAGCTATCACTATAAATTTATTTCCAGTTTCTTGTATTGTTCTTTTATAAGGTGTTGTGTTTATATTTTAATGAATCGGACCGTTATATGGTTTTTGTCAATTCAATTTCTAATATCCAATATATATCTGTTCAGTAGAACTGCCGCCCATAACTGATCTATCTTCAAATGTGAGGATTGCTTTATTGAATGTGCAAACTTCATGCCAAGGTTGGCATTTTGATTCTTGAAGTCTTAGTTTTGCTAACAATATCCTCATTTTCAGGCACTTGCTCAATGTGATAGGGCCCTTACTAACTTGGGCATTATTAGACTTAGTGCTGATGATTCTACTGGTGCTGCTCGGGTACTTTCGAAATCTTCTTGTGCTAATTCAATTTCTTCGTGTTGTATCTTGTTATTTTATTGTTCGTGGTTCTACGCACCATGATACCGGAACAGATGGTTACTTCGAGTGGCAAAAAAGATATAGGCGCAATAACAAGTGCTAGAGCAGCTGCATTATATGGGCTTGACATTCTTGCAGATAAAATCCAGGTAAAAAACCATCAGTATTCTTATCCCTCTTTCTCGGCCAAAAAAGACACATTTCTTTCTATTGTTGATTTACTCCATCTCGTGCATCAGGACGAGGATGATAACGTTACCAAGTATTTGGTACTTGCAAGAGAACCCATAATTCCCGGAACGGACAGGGTTTATAAGGTATACCTCCTTGAACTTGGTCATTTATTCGATTAATCTCTCTTTCGTTGATAATCTTTCGACTTTCCAGACCAGTATACTTTTTACTCTAGAAGAAGGTCCTGGCATGCTATTCAAAGCCTTGGCTGTGTTCTCTCTAAGGGATACTAATCTAACAAAGGTAACTATAGCAGAGTGTTCATCTTTGTCTTATCATTATCGGAGACGATTCTGATTGTTATCTCGCTTCTTGGAGCAATTTTCAGATGGAAAGGGCGTCCTCTGAGGGTCGTCGACGATTCTAACAGAGGGAGTGCCATGTAAGTGTAGTATACTCATATTCAGATGGAGAAAGCAAAGCACAGTTTTCTTGACAGTGGGATTATCATAACTAGTGATCAAATTAATGCTATTAATCCGGTTGATGTGTGGTTCCAGGTACTTCGACTATCTTTTCTACATCGACTATCAATCCTGTGACGGAAGTGCCAGTTACAACTAAATCCACTAAAGACTCCATAAACATAGCGGTAATTACAACATATAACTTCCGATAACTTCTAATACTAGTTCTGCAAATGAACCGAATGAACACAAACGAGGGTATATTCATGTCCGTTCATTTAACTTTAATTGAATAAACTGATTAACAAGAACAACTAAATGAACGGAATTCCATGTTCGTGTTCGTTGATTAAGAAATTTAGTTTTTTCGTGTTTGTTAATGTTCGTTCGTCAAAATGATAAATGAATAAAAAAGAACGAATGTAAACAAACACAAACGAACATAAAATTAATTGAATTTATATTTGAAAATAGTTTTTTTCGTTCCAAATAATTTTAGGATTTATATTTTCTTTAATTGATTTGAGTATTTTTATTTGGGTTTAAAATTAATTGAGTTTTAAAATATTAGTGGGTTAAGGTTAAAATTTATTAGTTCTTGATATTTCAATAGGGTCTAGAGATTAGACAAAGTATAAACAAACGAACGTAAATGAATGAATATAAACGAATGAATTATCGAACGTTCATTAATGAAGTAGCCTTTTGTTTGTATTTGTTCATTTAATTAAACGAACATAAAATCTTGTTTAAGTTCGTTCGTTTAATAAATAAACGAATATAAATAAACTTCTCGCCAAATAGTTAACCAACAGCTAGCTCAAATTTTACTTCGTGACCCACAGAAAGCTCAACTGCCGAGCTTTGTAACGGAAGCTTGTGACCCACAGAAATGACATAAAATAGAAAAAGCACCTTGGAAGAAAGAATCCCATATGGATGAGCAAGAGCAAGTATTAGGTATTTATATATGTTGCTACCCAAACCGCCGAGCTTTGTAACGGGAGCTTGTGACCCGAGTGGGGGCATTGGTATGGTGGAACGTGGGTTTGGCTCCTTTAGTCGGAACCCACGTGGCTTTGCCATGGCTTGCCCGTTCCAAGCCAAGAGTTGAGGTATGAGACCTCAGTGAAAACTGTGGGTACCGTGGCTCCTAGAGAGAAGGGCACTGCGTGAGGCTGGTTTCACAGAGCAGCGAAGACCTTCCTCTCAAAATCTCCTTTTTGCTGCTGCTAAACTTGACCTCTTTCTCCGTTTGTTTCCTCCCAAGATCAACCCACTTTTCTCAGGGATTACCATGTCTAAGTTTTCTGGGAATTGGACTGCAGCTGGGTTGAAGACAACAGAAGAGTATTACTTCGCCATTGTTGATATGGACTGCTTGATTAAATGTTATTATCATATCTGTAAAGTATTGCTGCTATTTACTTGTTTGCAATTGGGGGGAAAGGCTTTCTTCTTTGCTTAACTGTTAGATGAGAGGTGCCTTGAAGAACCAAGTGATAATTAGCTATGGTCTTATTGGAGTCTCTTGAAGAACCATGTGTATGTTGTTTGATTTTCATTACTCTGTTGCTTATTCCTCGTTTCTCCTGTATGCCCTCCAATAATCTGTAACAGCTCCGTGTGATTTAATGACGTGTCCACTGTAGCGGATCCACAGTTTCTTAATACAGATAATAAAATTTGAATTTTTTCGATTAGTTAGATCTAAAATATTATTTATCGTCCACCAAAAAAGGGTATTGGAATCAGTACTAACAGAGACTTTTGTTGCAAGATATAGCCAAGTAGAAATGGGTTAAAAATTCACCTGCGCATATGTATTTTCCTTGGTATATTCAGTCACTTCATAACTGTAAGTCAACTCAAGAACAGTAGTCTCGTGTTCTTCTGCATGCCCCATCGTGGCAATGGAATACTGTTAAGTGCACACAAGCAAAAATGAGAAGAGTTTAGTAGGCTTCCTCCATGGCAAAAGGATAACATTCATATCTCAAGCTAATAATTTAAGCAGAACGATCCAAGTAGGTCAGAATTTACCTTGTATTCAGGCCTGTCAACCTTCTTTACAAGCTTCATTCCCAAGGCCTGCAAAGAAGCGAACATATGGCTCAAGGAAATTACTAACTCGAAGAAATGGCAGCAAGTAGTCAGCAGTAGGTGAAGGTCCAATAACAGTTTATTCTCCAATAAACAGAAGTACAGAACTTCTATTCAAGTGATTCATGCACTATAAGCACAATGAATTTGTTGTTCCAGTTGAAACAGACGATTAGTTAGAGAGAAAAAAAACCAAGAAAAAGGTTATTTCGCACTACTTTTTCATAGAATTTGACGGAGGGATGTATAATACTTTCAAAAATCATTTTTACTGTAAAATCAATATCAAACGGATAAAAAAATAAAATAAAAAATTTATTGTTTGGTTTCTAACTTTTTCATTTTTAACTTTGTGTCTGGAAGTAAATTATAATTTTATCCTTACTTATACATGGGTTCCACTCAACTATGTATTTATATTTTATTTTAATAATTTAATACTAAAATCCTTAACAAGTAATTTATTACTTTTAATAATTTATTTTAATTATTTAAAAATAAATAAAATTCATAATTTATATATTAAAATATTAATAATGAGTTATATAAAATATATTTTTATCATAATCGTATTTTTTTATATTTTTATTATAGTTTAAATTGATATAATTCATATATAATAATATTTCTTTTTGAATTTATTATCGTTTAAATTGATTTGATTATTAAATAAGTGTAAATATAATTATATAATATATTTTTAATTTACATCATAATGTCTATAATGAACATTTTATATTTTCAAACTCACTTTTTAACAGTAATCTCAAACTGTTAAATTTTAAATTGCACTTTTTGTTCAACACTTTTCAAAGTTCATTTCTACAACACTTTTAAAAGTTCATTTTTCAAAAACTACGTCAAACTGGTCCTAAATCTCCAACACGAAACATTATTTGATAGAGTGGCTAGGGAGTAGAAACTCTTTGGATGAGGTAAAAAATATAACCGTTGTCCATAATCGATTTGTCTTCATTTCATGTTAATGATTCAAATGTGAGGATTGCTTATCAGGTCTGAAATCTTTTCATTATTTAACTGAACTCCTCGTTAAATTTCTTGATATGCTTATATGTTTATAGGGTTATATCAGTCGTTACAATTTAAATTTAAAAGTTTTATAATGTATCGACATATTAGTTATTTTCCAATATATCTAGTAATAATGACAATCTCTTTGAACTATCAATTTTGCTCTATCCATGACTTCATAAATAAAAATCCATAGTTGGTTTCATTACCATCGTACATCCTTAATATTTTAACCAATGGCTCTTGGATCTTTAAGACACCACCTGTCTTTTTCTAAAATTGTGTGGAGTTAATAACCTCAATCATCTCTAATCCATCTTGTTTTTTTGCATATGTGGACCTTTTTCATTATGAATAAGTCATCATTTCTTTGAATGCTTTTTTGCTTCTAAAAATACTCTCCAAAGCAATGAAATTGGTAGTAAATCTAGTGATCCAATGACGTAAGAGTTCTATGCCATTGATATACATCATCATATAATCAGTAGTCCATGTATGATTGTATATGAAGGAAGTGATCTTTTTTGCTTGATATAAGACATTTTTCACACATTTTTGTTACCGATTTCATTCACCATTTTTTCCACTATATCATAATAACACTTTTCATAACCATGTTTATTTTTAGGAGCTTCACCTTCTTTACTTTTTGAACGTGACATTTTTTATAACTGCACATAAATCATTTATTGTTCATTATATGAGATCAAATAAGCTAATAAAGTATTCAAAAGTAAAATAATAATTATAAAACTCAAAACTAACAATAAAACAAATTCATAAAATGAAACAAAAAATGAAAGAAAAGTGATGTTATAAGCTAATAACTATCGTTGGAAGGTCGACTTATAAGTTCCAAAGCTTCTTCGATATGAACTATTTTCTTTCTTTCCTTTCATATTTAACTCTTTTACCCCCCATAGGTTTTCGTCACACTCTTAGAGAAGTGGTGTACAATGTTTTGAAACTTTAAACATTAGAGACAATAAAAAAGTCACAATGATACCAATATATCTCCTCTTGAGGGCCTTTAACATTTGAAACTCAACTTTGGTTGCCAGATTTCTTAAAATTTATTATTTTTATTATTCCCATCCATCCAACAAAAAAATGAATTTTTCATCGTATCTGACGAGAAATGGAGATGTCAGAGATGGATTCACTATGATTGCAATAGGCGATCGAATAGATTTTCAATAAAACTCAATTTTCGATTGTTTTTAAAATAACGACAGTTATTAACTAAAATTAGCATCTGAAGCAACAACTGATGCTATACAAGTGAGAGTTACAGACAAAAAATGTAAAGGTACACTAGAAATAGAAACATAATTGGCTAATGCATGAGCCAATTATACCTCTTAATAAGAAGAGGTAAGAGTTCTATGCCTTTGGTATGCCTCTTCAAATAATCAATCGTCCATGTATGATTGTATATAAAGGAAGTGGTCTTTTTTACTTGGTTTAATACATTTTCGCACATTTTTATAAAAATTAATTAATAATATATAAAAGAATATTATTATTATTATTTTATCAGTTTACTTATTTATATAAAATAAAAAAATCACATCGGAAGAAAGAATCCCACATGGAGAAGCAAGAGCAAGTATTTGGCATTTATATATGTTTCTAACCCCAAAATTAATAATCTAATATATACACTTATGTTTATACTTTTGTATATATA